TCAAACGGACATAAAACCAGGATCAACACAATGTAGTACCACATTAGCATTCAGCCATTCTAACGTTAGCCAAATACAGCAAATCACACACCCATATTGAGTGCTAAACAACCCAGCAAAACTGCTAACAACAACTTTGCAAGAGTGGAAACTCACTCATCATGGCTGCAATCAAGAGAGGTACAGGAAGGAGGCAGAGGGCTTGGGGGTGGATGGCTGTTAGCACTGCAATTGGGTGGTCAATCAACAAGAAAAAGTCCAGCAAAGTCCATGAGCCAGTAATCCAATGATCCAAAAACTGGGAAATCCAAACATACAAGGGAAAGACAGTAAAACAAGCCAAATAAAAAACACTAACAAAAAAGTGCCAGAGAGAAGCAACAGAAAGACTCTCAACCAGAAATGACCCAGATCCAGGTTCAGAAAATCAAAATAGTTTTTGAATGTCAAAACAGAATGTGACAACTTAAAGTTGGACATTCATGAACTGCACCATATAATTATTTAACTGACTCTTTCAATTTGTGGGGTATGAGGTTTAAAGACTCATCTATAATGCTGGCTGAGGTAACAGGCCATTAACACTTATTTATCTAAAAAGTTTACTGTCTTTCTCAGTGTAAGCCACATCACCTACTGTGGCCTTTTGTGGTGTTATTCTTGTTTAATGTAGCAATGGTTTAAAAACATGACACCCCAAGGTGCACAGAGAAATTTAACAGTGCTGGGAGTTCTGCACCTTTATTTAAGACGAATTTTTGGATGCTGTGTAACATGGTGTGTCTTATCTGGTGGCCTCAAATCTAAAAATAATTTCTAGTGATACAGGTATTAAGTTGAAAGACTCAGTAATACTTGAAGAAAAACTAAATGTGTAAAGTTCTGCCTGACTGTGCCCAAACATTCTGCCTCAACAGTGAACATTTTTGGATGAAGTGTGTTCTTCATTTATTCAGTGATTATTATTCGGTGAGAACAGCACAGCTCAACTCACCACTGCATAGTTCAGATGTAGTTTTCAGTCAGAGTCCTTTTCATCTCACTCAGCACAGCAGAGCTGGTCACAGAACTGAATCACAGCTCTTCATGGTTCTCAGAAGGTGAAACTTGCAAACAGCAGCTTCTCTTCAACTTTGACTGCTTGGACAGCTCATAGGTTGTTGGATTTATTTTATTTTTCCTTAGTTGAGTCATGCTTGAGAGGAGGCATGGATGTATATTGTGGATGCTTTCTTAAAAAGATTTTAAAAGGTGCACCAGGTCTCTTCAGGTCTCAACTGCCCTTTTTCTCTTATTCTGCAATACAGAGACTTTTGAGAAAATCTTCTCATTTTCTTAGCATATTGATAGAAAAATGTACAGATTAAAAGTTTGGAATAAGTCAATATTTGTAAAGAAATATATAATTATTAAAGAAAATGTAATTGCTCAAAAACTTACTCTGTCTGTGCAGACTCTGAGCAGTAATGCGGTTTCTCTCCTGTGTGAACGCACTGGTGTTTCTTCGGGACACTGCTTCCTTTAAACCTGTTCCCACACTCAGTGACACAGTTTGCTTCTTGTGTGAATGCGCTTGTATGCTTGGAGATTACCTTGTTGACTAAAACTCTGTCCACAGTCTGAATACTGATATGGTTTCCCTCCTGTGTGAATGCGCTGGTGTTTCTTGAGGGCACCACTTTCTCTAAAACACTTTCCACAATCTGAGCAGTAATACGGTTTCTCTCCTGTGTGAATGCGTTGATGTATTTGGAGACTATGCTGTTGAGTAAAACTATTTCCACACTCTGAGCAGTGATATGGTTTCTCTCCTGTGTGAATGCACTGATGTATTTGAAGAACACTGTGCAATAAAACTCTTTCCACACTCAGCAGTGATATGGTTTCTCTCCTGTATGAATGCACTGATGTGTTTGGAAATTACCCTGCTGAATAAAAGTTTTGCGTTCCTCCCTTATTCACCATGTCCTAAGAGCAAGTGACCAGAGTGAGTAGAGATTAATAATACATATGTATACTCTTTAGACTCATATTAGAAATGATTTAACTGTTTTAAGTCATTTTGTTTAGAATGATAAGGTGCACTGTTGAAAGATGCTTGCCCACTGCATTTAAGTGCATCAGCATTTTCTGCTTAAAATCATAGACAAAATTCTGCTTACCATCGCTCATTTTCCACCCGCAGTCCTATTTACTTTTTTCCTTCCTTCTTTAATTTAGTTGTACTTTGTAAGTGAGTAGTTTAGTGAGTAATTTTAATCTACCTCAGTGTCAGCAACATTGTCTATAAATCATTTTATATCAGGCCTAGTCATTTTTTTTCTTTCAATTGTTTGTAATATTTGTTTAGGTTTATTTGGATATTTAGGATTATTTTGCACTAAATTCACATGTTTTTGCCCAATTTTTAACCTTCAGTTATTTCAAATGAAATTGGCTTGAAACAAATATTTTACCAATAGTTTTTTTAATAAAACAAATTTTAAACATACCCATCTGCTGTATGTTATATACTTTATATGTTTTTTTTTTTACTACATTAATGTTCAACACTGTTAGCCAGGTTTCGGCCCTGTTATTCAGTCATTTTGGGTCAAAACAGTTCTAAAACTAAATTTAATTTAGTAGCTTATGTTACCAGAAGTGTCAGTTTGGTAACAAGACTTATTAGTTCTAACTACGAATACAAGATTTTTATTATTTATTTGAAAATTTCTAAAAACATCTCATAAACCTCAAAAACAGTTGGTAGTGAAGTAATGAACACCATACAAACTGAAAAGTGTACAGATGTATATTATTTATTAATTTATTCATTTTCTCCCTCATGTAAATCATTTGAATGTGAATTTGTTTTTTCCTTTTCATTACATAAATCATGACATGCAACTCCAAGCACAGAGACTCCACTGAGCTCCTGACCTGCTGTGAAGTACGGGGAATGGTTGAGAGTCACATGCAAAATGGAGAGCGAGACACGTTGAAAAAGCGGGCTGACTAGCTGATGATGTTGACCTGTATGTTGTTTCTGCCAGCCTGTTTATAGCCAGGTCTTTTCTCAGTAGTTGGGTGAAGACTAGAGAGTGAGAAGGAAACCAGTAGAGGCACTGGGAGCATAATCAAGGCTGAAAAGTCACCAGTGAAGCAGTTCTTAAGTAGTTATACTAGCTGAGAAGTTTATATGTTTGTGATAGTAAATAAAAGCTCCATCCATGAGTGAGTTTACATGCACTTTTTTTTGTCAGTAATCTGATCAAAGCGTTTTCATGTTCTTGAGTAATCAGATCATGGGGAAAATCTGGGTCATGAGTCAGACAGTAATCAGATTTCTGCTTTGCAACCAGCCAATAAACTTACTCAAACTTCATGCTGCAGCTTTTTTTTTTTTTAAACATCACATTTAAAAAATGTTTCCAGTGTCTTTCTGTTACCCATGTCCCAGTGCCTTCCTGCCATTACAAACCACCTGCTGGATCGCCTGCAGTTTGCATACAGAGTTAACATTTATCAATGATGTGGTCACTTAATGCTACAGCATCTCAACAGACCTGGAACCTACACTAGAGTTCAGTGGAGCTCTGACTTCAGCTCAGCTTTCAACACCATAGTGCCAGAGCTCCTGATCACCTGCTGTTCAAAACTCAAAAGACTGTAGAAATGGTGGTGGAGTTCAGGTGCAGCCAGACATGCCAACAGCTTCGTCAGAGCTGTATTGCTTATCAACTACAGTGGATACCTCACACTGTTAATTTAAACTTAAATTGAACCGAACAATCTCAATTATGTTTTACAGTGTAACTCCTCCTGTAGCATAATGCTTATTTGCAGAACTGTACAGATGTTAATTTTATAAATGTTCATATCGTTCAGTGTATAGTTGTTAATAACAAATTGGGATATTAACTCAGATATATTAGTATGTTACAAAAAAGTTATTTTACTGTAGTGTAATAGATAATTCACATTTAATTTTGCATAATTTGTATCTTAGATTTTTTACTGTAGCCTTTATTCTATCAAACAGTAGGTTGGAGAAACATTAACCTAAGACTTTGGTAACACTAAACATTTAAATGTTAATGGTAAGTTCAACATAGTGTGGAATGAAAATGTGCTTATTATAGAAACAGTGGATCATATAGACAGTTGTAAGTCCCAGTCAGGAAGCTGAAGGGAGCACTCTGATTGGTTGAGTAATACATCACTCCACCCTGTACAGAGACAAACAGCATTCCCTCCTGTGCTTGGGAATCAGTCCAATTCAAACCACTTTAAAGTAAAAGTAAAATCTTTAGCAGCATCTGTCTTATTAAGAGAACAACATAAATAACGTTTGGAGAAAAAGCAGAGAGGTAATTCAGCCTCATAGATTAGATTTTAAAGAAGCTCATTCTATTCTATATGATGAACAATGATGTCTACATTCATTGTGTGTGGTGTAAATTCAGAATTAGAGTTTCTCTACAGCCGTTTTCTCTATTTCACTGCTCTGATATCTGTTATAATGGTTCACTGTCTCCCATTTTACACCCTCGTATAGAACCATCACTGCTGGACATTCACTTCTACTAGAACTTTAATCCTCCACTGAGTTTAGTTATAAACTGTAACACTCTCACACGTGTTCTTTCTTTAATCTACATATCAGTATTGTATGTAAGTTTATGATAAACGTAACGTGTGTAATAAAGTCTCTGCTGTTGTGCGATCTCTCTCCTTCTTCTACAATGCTGCTGCTCCATTTTACTTTCGGTTTCATACAGGGAGTGCTCAGCTGTGGTGTAGTCGAACATTCGAACATTCTTTCCTTGTCGGTTTGTCATGAAATAAACGTGCAGAAAAGATCACACGTACATTTCCTGACGCATGAGAACACAGAAAACAAACTACAAACAAATATGTGCAGCCAGCAAGGTTGGAGAGCTTAGGTTGGGGACTTTTAATTTGACGGCAGCCCCTCCAAGAAAGCCATTATCGGCACGCGTATAGGCTCGCGTTATGTTGTTGAAGTATCGTTTGGTGTCTGCATGCAGCAGCCGGAGTTCAGCAGTAACTCTTGTAGAAATTGTTTTAGAGGGTTCTCTTCGAAATGGACGTTATTCTGACCCATGCAGAAGGAAAGTTGTGCATGGTGTCATTGTACAGCACTTTAAACTCGGCTCATGTTTAAGGTGTTTAAGGACCGAGTCTCCCTGCAGTGTCTGCATTGTCTGCACAGGTGTGTAAGAATGTTTACTAGCATATTGAAACCTTAATCGTAAAAATACTATTTTTTATTTATTTATTTATTTTTTTAACTGAGGGTGCATTCTCTGATGCGGTGTGCTGTAGTATATATGGACAGATAATATACTGGCATGTTAAGTTAGTTATGATCGAATGCCTTTTTGCACATTATTATTAAAATCAGAGATCTATATGTTAAAGTATGCTTTACATTGTAAAGCAAGCTTTGGATTCCAGCATTAAGCTTTATAATGTGTATTGTGGCAGCATATTCTGGACTTTGTTCACATGCAAACTTCAAAATGCTGGTTCAGTTGTGGATTTACAGTTGCATTTTCCATGTGTGTGCATTATTTAAGACATCATTCAGATTCCAGTGCAAAAGATACATTTGCATTTCTGTACATAATGGCTGGAAAAGTTAATATGGAGAACAAAACACAAATTTTCATTGTCGTCATGGTATGACTCTTACATATTGTGCCATCGGCAAAGAATAAGACACAGGAAACATTGCACTTCAAATGTGATTGCTCTTTTATTGAACCAACAGCAAGGGAGAGCCACCATTTAGCGTTAGCAGGCACAACTAGGAAGGAGGCAGTTCAATTCCAACCACACGTTTCTACTTGAAGGTAGTCACTAACACTGCACTACTACTACTCCACAAATCAGTACAGAACAGCTACAGAAATGTAAATACATATTTTGTATTTGAATTTAAATTATGACTTTTAAATAAGTGTCTTTACATAGATATTACAGAGTGACCTGTACCTGTACCCATAGTGCAGAGTTAATTGTACAGTGTGAGTTTGGGACTCCAGTATTAAGCTGGCTGACACTGCTGCTGTTACCATACAGGTACAAGCTCTTAGATTTTAAGTGCATTATTAAGGTAAGGCTAAGCTTTTTTGATTAATTTTTGTGCTTGTATGTACAGCCAGCTAGTTGTACCTGTAGTGGAGTCACTGTTTCCTTCTTATACCTTTTTCCTGAGTATATACTGTTTGTTTATATTACTTTGGATATTTGTGTGTCTAGCAGTATCTGAGCTCAAGGGTAGTTTGTAGAGCAAATGGGTTAGACTAGCTAGGATACATTCTCTGAGTAGACAACAAAGCACTTTTGTAAGTTACTCTGAATAGGAGGGTCTGCTAAAAGCTGTAAATGTAGAATATGATCAGGAATTAAACTGGGTGCCCAGTCCTTTAATGTGTGTAGCCATGCTATGAATGATTTAGCCCTTTGATTTTAATATATATGAGTGAAATTTCATAATTAAAAAAAGGTTTTGTTCATTTAGTAATGTGTAAAGCTGAACTTAGTAAAGTTGCATTATGATTGTCTCACACTTGAGCTTATGTACAGCTGTTGTTACTGGCCCTACTGCTTTAGCATCACTGCCCCTCAGTGGTGGAACTAACTTTCTTCTGAACTCCGCACTGCACAGTTACTCAGTTCCTTCTGCCGTGGTCTAAATATTCACATCTTCAGGCAGTATCTCTGCACTTTTCCTCTGTGTTTTAATGCTTCATACAAAAAGCAGCACCTAATTGATTCTCCTAACACTTGTATTTATTTAATTTTTTTATTTATTTAACTAGATTGTACTGTGGTATGGCTCATGATATATATATATTTATGTATTATAAACCCTTTCAGTTACTTTGTGTAGCTTCCAGTGTTTGTATGTTTAGTAAATCACTCTGGATAAGAGCATCTGAGAAATGACTCAATGTAAATATATACATTTAGTGACTGTATAATATGCAATATTACTGTTATTCATTTTATATGTCCATCTGTTTTCTTCATAGTTGTCTACCAAATATTTGTCTGCAAACTTGTTTATATTTACTGTAGCGCAGAATCAGAGTTTATAACCAGCTAGTTCACTCAGACTCACGGGCACAATAATATCATAAAGTCATAAACAGTCTGTATGCAGCTAGTTCACTCAGACACAATAATAACATCGTAGTCATAAACGGTCTGTATGCAGCTAGTTCACTCAGACACAATAATAACATCATAAAGTCATAAACGGTCTGTATGCAGCTAGTTCACTCAGACACAATAATAACATCATAAAGTCATAAACGGTCTGTATGCAGCTAGTTCACTCAGACACAATAATAACATCATAAAGTCATAAACGGTCTGTGTGCAGCTAGTTCACTCACAGACACAATAATAACATCATAAAGTCATAAACAGTTTGTACGCAGCTAGTTCACTCACAGACACAATAATAACATCATAAAGTCATAAACGGTCTGTGTGCAGCTAGTTCACTCAGACACAATAATAACATCATAAAGTCATAAACGGTCTGTATGCAGCTAGTTCACTCAGACACAATAATAACATCATAAAGTCATAAACGGTCTGTGTGCAGCTAGTTCACTCAAGACACAATAATAACATCATAAAGTCATAAACGGTCTGTATGCAGCTAGTTCACTCAGACACAATAATAACATCATAAAGTCATAAACGGTCTGTATGCAGCTAGTTCACTCACAGACACAATAATAACATCATAAAGTCATAAACGGTCTGTATGCAGCTAGTTCACTCACAGACACAATAATAACATCATAAAGTCATAAACGGTCTGTATGCAGCTAGTTCACTCAGACACAAAATAACATCATAAAGTCATAAACGGTCTGTATGCAGCTAGTTCACTCACAGACACAATAATAACATCATAAAATCGTAAACGGTCTGTATGCAGCTAGTTCACTCAGACACAATAATAACATCATAAAGTCATAAACGGTCTGTGTGCAGCTAGTTCACTCAGACACAATAATATCATAAAATCTTAAACAGTCTGTATGCAGCTAGTTCACTCAGACACAATAATAACATGAGAAAGGCATAAACAGTCTGTATGCAGCTAGTTCACTCAAACACAATAATAACATCATTAAGTCATAAACAGTCTGTATGCAGCTAGTTCACTCAGACACAATAATAACATCATAAAGTCTTAAGAAATCCACTGTGAGATTTACTGAAGTCCAGAGTCACTCCTTGTGTGAACTGCATACTTGGCCAACAAAACTGATTCTGATTCCGAGATGTAAAAGTGATAGTGATATTGTTGTGTTATTGTTTTTCTATCCAGTGTGATTCAGAGGAGGATGGGTTCTCCTTTTGAGTCTTGGTTCCTCTTCAAAAGGGAGTTTTTCTTGCCAATGTCAACCTCAGCGATGCTCATCTGAGGCCCAGACCTAGATTTACACCTGCTGTAAAAATCTCTCTGAAAATAAACCTGGAATTAAATTGAAAGGTCATTGAAAATAATTCTCCATAGGATCTGTTGCACATTATACAGTGATGTGACCTGCAAGCCCCCTAGATGAGCTGGTGTGGAATACACCAATTCCAAAATTGCAGTATTTTAAATTTTGCAGGGAATGTCATGCTGTGCACCACCAATAGTTGTACAGACATGTGTATACATATCTATTTATATAAATGTAGAATAAAATATATATAAAATATGTAATATGAAAATCTTATGTGAAAATATATTTTAGTTCATGTTTATTTCTGTTTATTCATTTGATTATGTATTTTTTAATGTTATTTATATATATGTAATATTGGTCTCAAATGACATTTCATAGTTTAGTGCTCAATATTGGCCAAAGACAAACTTTTGTATAAAATATTGTGGTTATAACAAATAGTCAGTGATGCTCACAGGAATGGATATCAAACAAAAAAAAGTGATGAAGTGTTTAAGTCTGAATTGTGTGCACCTGACTGAGCAGTGCTTAACTGGATAGATAAGTCTGAATTCTGAATACAGATGTGTGTCATTTCAGTGTTATCTCCTCACTGTGTGCACATAACTCTGAATATGGATCTTAATGGTTAAACACTTACTACATGTTCACTTCAAATGTGTAATTTTATTTGTTTATCAAGTACTGCATGAAGCTGCAATGACAACAAACTCAAGATCTTACAGACAGTGTTTTCAACATCCTGTGTATGTTTTGTATATCTGAATAGTTCTCAGAGAGCAATTGGAGGAACAGCTCCATGATGGAGCTTCAACACTCCAGCAGCAGAGGAGGAACCTCTGATCCAAAGTGAGTGACTATGAGCACTTGTATATATTACGAGAACATTTCCTTTTAATAATGTTTTTCAGTTATGTTTTTTTAGATTAAATGGGATTTAGCAAGTAGAGTATGTACTTAACACTTCACTCTCATCATCCTGTCAGGTTAAATGATGTAGGATCTCCAGAACTCAGCTGTGTGTCTATGAACAGTGACAGGTCCATGAGGAACCCTCCTGTATTCAGCAGTGGAGGAGGAGAACCCAGCCGTGTGTCTATGAAGAGTGACGGGTCCATGAGGAACCCACCTGTATTCAGCAGTGGAGGAGAACCCAGCTGTATGTCTATGAAGAGTGACGGGTCCATGAGGAACCCTCCTGTATTCAGCAGTGGAGGAGGAAAACCCAGCTGTGTGTCTATGAAGAGTGACGGGTCCATGAGGAACCCTCCCGTATTCAGCAGTGGAGGAGGAGAACCCAGTTGTGTGTCTATGAAGAGTGACGGGTCCATGAGGAACCCTCCCGTATTCAGCAGTGGAGGAGGAGAACCCAGCTGTGTGTCTATGAAGAGTGACGGGTCCATGAGGAACCCTCCCGTATTCAGCAGTGGAGGAGGAGAACCCAGCTGTGTGTCTATGAAGAGTGACGGGTCCATGAGGAACCCTCCCGTATTCAGCAGTGGAGGAGGAGAACCCAGCTGTGTGTCTATGAAGAGTGACGGGTCCATGAGGAACCCTCCTGTATTCAGCAGTGGAGCTATACCCGCTGACCCAGAGTGAGTTGTTGTATTACAACACAACTTTCCGTTGTTCCATGTGTGTTACTTTAAAAAAACGCAGTGGAGAAGGACAGTCTAGCACACCCAGTCACTGACCATGTGGTATGATCATGTTTATCAGTGATCTGTAGCATTGTATAGATGTGGCTAAGAAAAATATTGAGGTAATTCAGAAACAGTGTATGTTAGACCACCAGTCATTATGCATTCACCATTATTTACAAACGTTTTAAGTGTAAAACTATTATTGATGCTGTGTTCCAATCAAGAAGTATTCATAATTGTAAATTAATTTAAACACAGGATAAGGCATAAATTCAAACCCACCCCCTCTGCTGCCAGCTCTCCAGAATTACTCTTTCTGACCTGAAGACTATTTGTCTAGAGGTCTACTGGGGTCACAACATGGAGACAAAGTGACAGAGAGCTATGTGTCAAGCAAAACTTTAGGTAATGTTACTTTTTTCTATTGCTGGCCTTTATTCCCCATTATTATAATTGTTTTTTTTTTAGTTCAGCATAGGAAATACATTGGGAACAGTTAACACCACAATTATAAATAAAGTACTTACTAGAGGAGGTCAGAAGAGCAAAATATCCTAACAAAGAAAGAAACCAAACAAAGTACAAGCACTTTTCTCTATTAATTTAATCAAAAACAGGACAATACATACACTCAAACCCCTACTCCTCTGCCACCAGCTCTCCAGTATTACTCTTTCCAGGCACAGTTCAGCCAATCATAACAATGTCTTTTTCGGGGCTTCAGCTCAGCTAATCCAATCAATTTCCAGGTTTTGGAAAAGAGTAGTACAAAGTACAAAGACAACACATAATTAATTGAAACTGAGAAATTTTATTGTTTTCAGAAAAAAATATGCCCATTTTGTATTTGATGTGGGCAACACATTTAAAAAAAAGTGACGGTGGCATTTTTACCACTGTGTTGCATCACATCGTCTCTTAACAACACTCAGTGATCTTTTGGGTACTGAGGAGACCAATTGCTGTAGTTTTGAAAGTGAAATGTTTTCCCATTCTTGCTTGATATAGGATTCATCTTTTGGTCTCCTTTGTCATATTTTTTGTTTTGTAATGCAGCAAATGTTTTGGGTCCCAGGTCTGGACTGCAGGCAGGCCAGTTTAGCAGTTTAGTTTTTAGCAGTTTAGTTTTTGATTTGTCGGTTCACAGGACACTCTGAATGCGTATGTGTTTACTCACTTTGTGTAAGACACAAAGTTCATTGTGAGAACTTGACTCAAATCTATAGAAGAGTTTATTCAATTACGTACAGATTGCGTTAAGTATTATTTAATAATAATTACATAAAAAATTGCATGTGACAAGTTTGAAATTTTGAAGTTTGAAATTTTGTTTGAACTCCACCAGTCAACGCTCCACAGAGGCAACACTGCAGATGAACACAGTTGGAGGGAACTAGAGAACTGCAGCAGGATTCTTACCAACCATTGGATATTGACCTGCTCAGAGTCTTAGAGAGACACAAAACCAGCATGAAGAACAAGTACGAGAGCTTATTTGAGGGAATTAAAACACAAGAGAATAAATCCCTCCTGAACAGGATTTACACACAGCTCTACATCATAGAGGGAGAGAGTGAAGGAGTGAATGAAGAACATGAGGTTCTACAGATGGAGAAAACTCCCAGGAAACACCTACAAGACACTCCAATCAACTGCTTAGATATCTTTAAACCTCAAGATTTGAAAGACGGAAAAATTATAACTGCAAGAGATGAACATTTAAGACAGAAAGAAGGACAAGAATTAAAAGTGCAGAAACTCAAAACTGTACTAACTAAAGGCATTGCTGGCATTGGAAAAACTGTCTCTGTGCAGAAGTTCATTCTGGACTGGGCTGAAAGAAAAGCCAATCAGGATATAGATTTCATGTTTGTGCTTCCTTTCCGAGAGCTGAACTTGATTAAAGATGATCAATACAGTCTTCATGGACTTCTGTGTGACTTCCATCCTGAGCTCAAAGATCTGGACCCAAAGATTTATGATCAGATCAAAGCTGTGTTTATATTTGATGGTCTGGATGAAAACAGAATTCCACTGGACTTTAGGAGTAAGAAAGTATCTGACATCACCATGACATCATCAGTGGGTGTGTTGATGACAAATCTCATCAAAGGAGAGCTGCTTCCCTCTGCTCTAATCTGGTTAACCTCCCGACCAGCAGCAGCCAATCAGATCCCTCCTAAATACATCAACCGTGTGACAGAAATTCAGGGATTCAGTGACCCACAGAAGGAGGAGTACTTCAGGAAGAGAATCAGTGATGAAGACCAAGCCAAGAGAATCATCTCACACATTAAGAAAGTGAGGAGCCTCCACATCATGTGTCACATTCCAGTCTTCTGCTGGATCTCAGCCACTGTTCTTCAGCAAATCATGAAACAGCATCATACAGAAATCCCAAAAACTCTGACTGAAATGTACTCACACTTCCTGCTCACTCAGACCAACATGAAGAATGAGAAGTATGAGGAGAAAGACGAGAAAGACCCAAAGAAACTGCTGGAATCCAACAGAACAATTCTCCTGAAACTGGCTGAACTGGCTTTCAAACAGCTGATGAAGGGCAATGTGATGTTCTATGAAGAGGATCTGAGAGAGAGCAGCATTGATGTCACTGAGGCTTCAGTGTATTCAGGGATTTTCACTGAGATCTTTAGGGAGGAATGTGTGCTTTACCAGAGGAAGGTCTACTGCTTTGTTCATCTGAGCTTTCAGGAGTTCCTGGCTGCTGTTTATGTGTTTCACTGCTATGAGAGCAAGAACATGAAGGCGCTACAGATATTTAAACTACGGTACAGTGAGTGGTCTGAGAATGTTTTGCTGGGTTTTTTTAACCCACGGTACAGAGACTGGTCTGCGGATGTTCCACTGGATGAGGTGCTGAAGGGAGCAGTAAATAAAGCAGTAAAGAGTAAGAATGGACGGCTGGATCTTTTTCTCCGTTTTCTGCTGGGGATTTCACTGGAGTCCAATCAGAGACTCCTACAGGGTCTACCAACACTTATACAGAGCAGCTCGGAGAAAATCATTGAGTACATCAAATACTTAATCAAAGGCGATGATAATGAACAAGATCACATCTCAACTGAGAGATCCATCAATCTGTTCCTCTGTCTGTCTGAAATGAATGACCAATCTCTTTCCAGAGAGCTTCATGAGTATCTAAAATCAGAAAATCACTCAGAAGAGAATCTTTCTCCTGGACAGTGTTCAGCACTAGCCTATATGCTCCTGAGCTCAGAGGAGGTGCTGGATGAGCTGGACCTGAAGAAATACAGTAAATCAGTGGAGGGTTATAGGAGACTGATCCCAGCGGTGAGCATCTGCAGAAAAGCTCGGTGAGTGTTATTTCTAAATGATTGAATAATTGATCACATATCAGTTAAACATTTACAAATACATCGTTAGTTATTAGTATTCAGAATATAAACCTTATAGCTCCGCCATGCTAGTGTAGATTATAATAATAAAGTAGCCAGTTAATGAAAGTACAAGGTAGGTGTTCCTGATAAAGTGGCCAGTGAATGGACATACATGTTAGTTGTTTCTAATTAGGTGGACATTGAGTGTACAGTCAGGGTGGAGATGAAGCGCAATGCTCTACTTCATATTATATGAAAGCCAGAATGTCTTCATGTAGTTAAAGGGGGAATTCCACTGATTTTTCAAAATGCATACATAGTTTATTTCATAGTGTCTTGTAGTGTTACATGTAAACAGAATAATTTAGAGTGGTTTGATGTGAAATTGTGGAGACTTTATTGTAGAGACTATTTCTTTACAGTTTTGTTGAAAGGAGCCAGGGGTCGCCATGACTACAACACAAATATAGGCGTTTTATTCACTATCCAAAACCACCAGTGAACCTACATGTGTCTTATATATGAAATTATGAAATGGTGATGGTTAAATAGTGGAAAATCTGAAAAATTATTTTGCATCACAGTGCCCTGCTTGTACCTCTCTATCATGAATGTATTTTAAAAAATGCATTTTAAGCCAAAAACTTTTCACTAAAGTATTGAAAAACAGTGTCTCAGATATCAGGTTGGTTATTTGTAACCATTTCATGTAGCGATGGAGCAATCGATTGTCAGCCCAAATATGTGACTGGCCAAAGTATGATGTAAAATGCATGAGCAATTTTTTTTCATTATATTTTTGGATTTTTACCCAATTTAGTCGTCGCCAATTCCACCCGCTAGTTAGAACTCCCCCAATCACACGATACTATCAACACTAGGAGGGTGAAGGCTAACACAGGCTTCCTCAGAGACCTGTGAAGCACCACCGCTTCTTTTCAAACTGCCGCTCACACAACGTCATCGGACAGCTGAACACGCTCAGAGGAAGGCGCCAACCGCCAGATCTGTTACGTCAGCTAACAGACGCCTGCACTGACTAGTGATGGGGGGACAAGGAGGGGCCATCCTACCCACCCAAAGAGAGCGAGGCCAGTTGTGCTCTCTTGGACTTCCGGCTACAGATGGCTGTAGCATCACCAGGGATCTAGCTCACAATCTCCTGATGATAGGGCCAACGCTTAGATGGTTGCGCCACTCAGGAGCCCCATGAACCATATTTAGGGAGTGCTGCAGCCCTGCATTAGGCTCCTTGGTCACAGGACCCTCCAGTTCCTCATTCAATCACTAGATGTAAATACTGAGGTGTTTTTCCATTTAACTACAGGACTTAAAGCATATTCACACTGAGTCTGATTTTATGGATGAAAAAAATGCACAGCAAGTTTTAAAAATGAACACACATATATTAATACTGCCTTTCACACAGAGTCTGAAGCTGATGGACTGTGATGCTGCATAAAGTTTTTAATTGGAGTCTGCTCTGTTTTTTGTGTTACCTGGTTGTGTTGGGTTCCTTTTTCATGATTGCATGATGACTACTTCTGTTCTTTTTATAGAATGTGGTGTGTTCACCATTTAGTTGCAGTGCAGAGTGTTTAGACAGTAAAATGCTTCGGACCTGGTGTGAAGGTCCCACTACATTAAAGTTGCATCTGTTTTTTGTTTTTTTTTCATCTGAAAAAAATGATACTTTGTGTGAATTGGCCTGGGTGAACGGTCCAGCCCCACCTTCGATCGGTATCAGCAGTCGGTGATCCACATCAGCCCCAAAAACACTGATCGGTTCATCTCTAATTTATGTAGTATTTTTTGGGATATAGTTTTTAAAGGCTTTAAACTCATCAGAAGTTTGATTCCTATCACCACTGCTGTGAACAAGTCTGACTTCATAAATGTCTGTGGAATAGAACATTAAACATCAAAACACTCTGAACGACTTTGTGTTTATCTTGATTATTTAATTTTGCTGAAATTCTGAAGAATCAATAGAAAGTCCTGTGTGGTCAGACAGGGAAATACTCTGCATCCATAGGGCTGTAAAAAATATTTTTTTTAAGTATTAAAATTTTAAACAATTCCAAAAACAATTTTCTGCAGAATCAGTTCCCTCCATATCACACACAAACCACTACACACTCCCTGTTGGCACCAGCAATTCTGCCTCCTCCCTCTCTCTCTGTGCTGTTGTTCAGAATGTTAAAATTATTTTTGTATTACAGACAATATCCGCAGTCGGCACAGAAGAGCATTTTGTGACATAAAGTATCATGATAATGATAAAATATCATCATATTGCCCACCCATAGGTACCACTGAATTTTATGAATCTGACCCAAGATTCATAACCCAAATATCAAATAATTTAAGGAAACTCTTAACTGCACACCATTTTACCTGTTCTATGTGATGTATGCACTGTTATTTTGCAGAATAGCTGGCTGTAATTTCACCAAGGACTCATGTGAAATGCTTTGCTCAGCTCTACAATCAGTAAACTACCTGAAAGAACTAGACCTCAGTAACAATAACTTGCAGGATTCAGGAGTGGAGCTGCTCTCTACTGGACTGAAGAGTACACACTGCAAACTGGAGACACTCAGGTGAATTTCCTATTAAAAATTAAGCTGAGATGGCATAGTAAACTGTAAACTCTGAATCCAAATGTCAATACTTATGATATTCTTGTTCATGTGGTTTTAGAATTCTCTCATATCTCTTTGTTCCCATATATTTATGTGTGTCACAGTCATTCAAAATTATAACAATTCTTAAAGTTTTTGTAACCATCTCTGGAGCTTGAAGATCTGATCAGAGTCTATATTCATGATGTTTCTTGGAATAGGTGTGCTGATCTATGATCTGTTCATGTAAGTAAAGTCATAGTAAATCAGAGAGGAATCTGATCAGCACTCCTACACAGAAATCTGACTTTAAATCAGCATGTCTACTCTGAGGAACTTTGTCACTATGAGCCCATGTCTCTGATCTGCTCACTGCTGATAGGCTAAGGACTTGGATTATACAGGTGTGATTTATCAAATAATGGTTAATTTTCATAGAACTCACACAGATTTCATGTGATATTATGAAAAATAGCTTTGTTGTAACATTCTCTAATTCATAAATAAGGCTTACCAGCCCGTTTTACTATTTGTGCGATAACTGACACGACTGCTCATTTTCCTAATTTGCATGTGCCATTAGTGATTCATAACAGAACACTGACCTACCAAATACCACCCTAAGAAGTCTGTTGTGAATTTTACTAGCAAAAAGATGACCTTTTGGTATCAATTAATTGGTATATTTAATGATGCCAAAAACTGGTGAGAAGTCAATGTGGATTAAGTGATATTTTAATTATGTTTTTATTTGACTGTGGCAGTGGATAGAGGAACTTGGTGCGTTTGATACTGCATTGATTTATATATCGGGGAGCCCAAGGAGACCTTGGAGCCAAAGAAGGGAGTCTATATATATATATATATATATATATATATATATATATATATATATATATATATATTATTGTTGCTGAATTTTTACCAGATTATTTTTCAATTGTGAGGATCTGTAGATTTTATTTTTGTTTTTCTTCAGTTTAGTGTGTCCATTTTGGCACCCAAACTGTCACGACTCCCTTCTTTGGCTCCAAGGTCTCCTTGGGCTACCCTGGGGATCACGTGACTCCTGCCTTGCTCTTGCGCTCCAACCAGCGCTCTAACCCTCCAGAATATTGATCAGTTTCACCTGTTGTTCATAGATTAGTTTAGTATAAAGCCTGGGCTTGTAGGCTAGGTTCTTTGCGAGGTATTGCTTCTTTTCTCAAGAGCTATTGAGTGTTTCATCTAATTTGTGTGTATTTCTGGTTCTGACTATTTTGCCCTATTTTGACCCCTTTTTGGACTGCTTGCCTGGTTATGTTTGTGTTTCTTGCCCTTTTTGGATCTGACCTATGCATGTTTTGTTTACTTTGATTGTGTTTTCATCAGTAAAGCCCCTCATTCAACATTTATTCACGAGTTTCTGAGTCATGGTGACTACACAAATAAATTCATTATCACATTTGAAGCACAGGACCGCACGACAGTGAGGAAGACCACACCTCTTCCAACTGAACAGGTACTGTGTCTGTCCACTGCTGATGTGCAGAGAACGCTACACAGAGTCAACCCACAAAAAGCCCCAGGATCTGACAGCATACTGGGCAGAGTGCTTAGAGAATGCACTGAACAGCTGGGACATGTTCTCAGGGACATATTCAACATCTCTCTGAGTACTGCAGTCGTTCCAATGTACTTCAAGTCCACCACCACCATCCCTGTGCTGAAGAAGTCTCCAATGTCCTGCCTCGATGACTACCGTCCTGTTGCACTCACTCCCATCATCATGAAGTGCTTCGAGAGGCTTGTCATGAGGCACATTAAAGACCAGCTCCCCCCTTCACTGGATCCACAGCAATTTGCATATTGCCCCAACCACTCAACATACAATGCCATCTCCACCACCTCCACCTGGCTCCCACCGACCTGGACAATAAAGACACCTATGTCAGAATGCTGTTCATAGATTTAAGTTCAGCATTCAACGCCATCATCCCTCAGCACCTGATTGAAAAACTGAGCACCTGATTGAAAAACAGAGAGGAGGTGCAGAGGCCAATGGACTGGTGCAGAACCAACAACCTGTCTCTGAATATGGACAAAACTAAGGAGATGGTTGTTGACTTCCAAAGAGTGCTACGTGACTGCCCCCCACTGAACATCAATGGCTCTGCTGTGGAAATCATCAGGAGCACCCAATTCCTTGGTGTTCACTTCACAGAGAACCTCATCTTGTCCCTAAACACCAACTCCATAGCCAAGAGAGCCCAGCAAAGACTCTACTTCCTGTGGAGACTGAAGAAAGCTCTTTTCTCCCCTAACATCCTCACCATGTTCTACAGGGAGGTCTGTGGAGAGCATCTTGAGCAGCTGCATCATCACCTGGTTTGAAAATTGCAATGCCTCTGACCACAAGACCCTACAGCAAATAGTGAGGACAGCTGAGAAGATCATCAGGATCTCTCTCCCCTCTATCACAGACATTCACAACACACGCTGCATCTGCAAACCACCAGCATTGTGGACAGCCCCATTCATCCCTCCCATGGACTTTTTTCACTGCTGCTGTCTGGCAGAAGGTATCGGATCACCCGTGCCATCACTGCCAAACTCTGCAACAGCTTTGTTCTGCAAGCAATCAGATTTTTAAACTCACAAGGACTGAACTGAAAACCTCCTCAGACACATACTTTACACTCACACACACACATCTCTTTTTGATGCTCTACTTGCACTGGAACATTGCTGCTAATACTGTATTCTACTCAAGTACTGTATATTTCTGCTGTGCTCATGTATGTTATAATCTGACTGTGTATACCCATATAATCATAGAATTCTAAATATCTTTGCACCTTATCCTAACTACCTCATGTTCAGAAATGAATGTGGTGTCGGCGTTGTTTAATGTTTGCACACTTGCATCTGTACGTTTGCACTTTGTCTGTACTGTCTCATTTTGTTCCACGTTGCACCATGCTCCTGGAACAATGTAATTTTACTCCACTCTGTACTTGTACATGGAATGACAATAAAATCCTTTTGACTTGATTTGACTTGACCCATTTTAACTATTCTTTGTTTATTATTCCTTTGCAGACTAGCTGGCTGTAATCTCACTAAGGTCTCCTGTGAATCCATTTGCTCAGCACTACAATCAGCAAACTGCCCCCTGAAAGAACTGGACCTCAATAACAATAACCTGCTGGATTTAGGAGTGGAACTGCTCACTGTGGGACTGAAGAGATCACGCTGTAAACTGGAGACACTCAGGTGAACTTTCTGTTAAAATACATACTATCATATCTTTTTGCTCTCGCCAGTAACATAACACATTTGTATGGTCTGATCATGATGTAAATTTTCTAGTATTTTGTTTAAGTATATTATGAAATATGTCGCAAAATATCTCCCTTTGCAGACTCGCTATCTGTAATCTTGGGGAGAAAGCTTGTGAAAATCTGAGATCAGTTCTACAATCAGCAAACTCCTCCCTGAAAGAACTAGATCTCAGTAACAATGACCTGCAGGATTCAGGTGTGCAGATACTCTCTGCTGGACTGCAAAGTTTAAACTGTAAACTGGAGAAACTCAGGTGAGAATTCTGTAAATTAATTTTTAAACTAGACACTAATATGTGATATTTAATAATATTCACATACAAACACAACAAAGTGGTGGTATACTGTCCAGTTAACAAGCACATGACAAGGTAAAAGTTTGATGACCTGAGGACAATAAAATGATGTCCAGTTCGGCATGCTTTGGTACAATGATATGATTACTGGACAGCAAAGGGTCAAACAGTCTGAGGCTGTGGTGTAAGGGGGTGGATACACTGCTTTGAACCTTCCTCAACTAAAGTCTTTGATGGGTGAGATTGTCATATTTTATCCATATTAATTGGTGTGTTTATTGGTTCTCTGTAATACCATGAAAACAAAAATAATTTAATTTAAATAATGTGTAACTTTGTACATAGTATTTACACAATAGCAGTAATTCTTGTATTTGTGGTATGCAGAGCATTACCATACACAGAGTTCATAATTGGAGTACTACAGATAAGACATAGGGCCTAGGTTAGAAAACAGTGGCAAAATATAAGTGATATGTTTGCTGTAGTGTAAAACGTTTGATGAATCAGGCAAACAACAAAAATGGATTAAGGCAAAAATGGAAATGTATGATGAAAAAATGACTTTCAATACACAGAATGTCCACATATTACACAGATTTCTAACATGATTACACTACTAAATCCAAAAAGCAGACAGAGTTCTGAAACAATTCAAACACAAAACAGAATCTAACAAGTGAGCACGAACTGCGAACTACGGCTCCCATCTCTCCCACAGTGATGTCACATGCAGTGACATGAAAGCCCAGAAGATGTGGACTGGAGTACTTGATTGAACTATATCAGACTGTGCTCAGTAATTCAACAAAACGGCCAATCCAGTGTAGCCCAATGTTCCAGTCCACTTTTTCCCAGGTTCTCCCATATTGTATTGCTTTGTGGAATTGTTTGAGATGTGTCACTGACATGTTAGCTTTTGTAGATGGATTCATTATTCCCCGTTTGTTGCTATTTGCTCTACCCTTTTAGATTCTTTAGTGTTTTGATATTCTGCATATAGTAAGTCTGTCTCTCATAATTAATAAGGTTTTTCTTTATGTAGGGCCTTTCACAATTACAAGGTTGCTTTTACGATGCAATACAGGAATAAACCAATAAATAAATGACTAAATTGTATGTACAGTTGTAATTCATATTCTTATCTATATCCGCATCAATGCTTTTCATTTCCTTGCTTGATTATCATGGATATTGAAAAAGGAATAAAAGTGTGTGCTTGCACCTTCTCCTGCAATTTGGCATCCTAAACATTTTCATGAGGGGAATAGCTATTTATGCTTTACATGAGAACCTGTTGATTGCATATCCCACACAAATCTAGCAACCTGCTCCTCTTGCTTCCTTCTCCCTGTGGATAGTTTTAGTTCCCTGGGGATGTTAGTCAAGCCCTGGATTAACCTGGTCCTTGAATTCTACTGCATTCTGAAAGCTTGGTAATATGTTTTGACTGTTATCCAGTGCTGAATTACATATACTCTTCTGGCACTTCAGACTGGCACATTAGGGCATTAGCTGCACATACAAACATCTGATTGAGTACTATCCACACTTACAACAAAAACAATCAAAGTACAAACATTTGACGTGTTACAACATTGCCAAGTAACATAAAGGACTGCTATAAGCACATAAGTTGCCAGCCATTCAGCACCCCAAAAATAGTAACTCAATTAACAAACTCAACTCAGAAAAAAACCCCACTACAAACGCTACAAATTCTTCTGAACAATATACAAACACTACAACTATATAAACATTGAGCACAGGATAATAGAGAAAGCAAACCTGCTGTTTTCACAGTAGCAACAATATGTGTGTATTTTTATCAGTGCATTGATAACATTAGTACTTTAGTAACACAATCACTAATATTAATAAAATTACAGACAATGTATATATTAAAGTGTATTAAAGTTTCACAGAAAGGTGGCTTAGCTATGTTCAAGTAGAAGACTTCATGTGCAGTGTATAACAAGAGATTGGTACAGTCCTGAATTTTGAACCCCCACAGTGATGGTATCTGGTGGCCGGCATGGTTTGTCTGTGCTGTGTCCACTTGTCTCCTTAGGGGGAAGAATCATAGGTATAATGTTATTCTGACTGATCACCTTTGTCATTTGATGGAACATATCTATCCTGACAGGAGTGATCAGTGAATGATTCACTGAATTATTTGATGAGGATGAAAATTATGTTAATCAGATACTATGACCTTCACAGTCACCAGATCTCAACCCGTTTGAACACCTGAGGGTGACCAACATGTTAGACAGTGCTTTCCATCGTCAAAACACCAACTGGATAACATTTTTTGGAAAAATAATATTCCACCTCTGCAGTACAATTTCAGAGACATGTAACCTGTTTTGGTGGGTTGTGGTGGCTCAACACTTTACTATGACACTTTTTGTTGGTTTTCCTTTACCTTATGTTCAATCTGCATGAGGACCATGCTTGAAATGCTTGAAATTAAAATGGATGTTCTTTCTTTACAGATCTTTTGTGTCTTTTTAGAGAACCGCCAAATATCTCACCATCACATTGTAATTTGTTTTGTGAAGCTGCTGTATCCATTTTAGATGTTTCTGCCTAATTTTTTTAACTAAAAGGCCTGATTTTTGAAATTATAATTGCCCAATTGAGTATAATTGTTTCATCAGTCAGATGAAAAACAAATTTTATCAACATAACTGTTAGCTATTGACCAGTAGCAAGCAGTACTCTGAAGGGCATATTGCAATAAAGGATGTAGTTGCTGAACTAGTTGCTGAACTGCTTGGAAAAGTTTGAGTTTCATGACATCCAGTCTTTAAAATTCTTTTTGAAGAAATGTCTACAGTTAGTAAACATATTATTTATATAACTAAACACATGCATGTAGTCAAGTGACAGAATCATAGTCAACGAAGAGCATTAATGCCATTATCAGTTGTATTATTGTATTTTTTGAAATTGCTTTGCTTTGATTTCAGGGTGTTGATTTCACCGAATTTGGTGCTTGCTGTTTGGTACTACACCTTGTTTTTGTCCCTCTTTTTCTTTCCTTTCTGCAGATTCTCTGGATGTATGTTTAAAGATGAAGGTTGTTCTTCTCTGGTGTCAGCTCTGAAATTAAACCCATCCCACCTGAGAGAACTGGATCTGACCTATAATCACCCAGGAGAGTCTGGAGTGAAGCTGCTCTCTGATCTACTGGAGGATCCACACTGTGCACTGGACAAACTCAGGTGTGTGTGTGTGTGTGTGTGTGTTGTGTGAATTTTACTAATCAGCACTGGAATAAAGAATATTGCAGGCATACTAGGTTCCTTCTCTACTATAGCAGGGATGCTGAACACATTACAAAGTGCTATCAGAAATTTGTACTCTGCTATTAGAAGCACTCACTCAACATTATGTGATCTGGGCAGAGGAGATGAAGCACAAGGCTGCTGATGATGGTGTTGAAGTGGCCAATGGGTCTGTATGTGTGTGGAGGATGACCAATACTTTTTGGGTAAATAAAATCTATGGACTGGCTGAGATGGAGAGTGAGAGTTTAATCCAAGCACACATCAGTTTCTCCATGTTCTCTGAGAAATCCAAATGGGGAGGACTGGCTGAAATGGAGAGTGAGAGTTTAGTCCAAGCACACATCAGTTTCTCCAAGTTCTCTGAGAAATCCATATGGGGAGGGGGCAACGTTGGAAGAGAGAGTGGAGGATGAGAGGGGTAACTGCACAGGTGACTATGCTGATAGTTGCAGTGTCTTTGGCAGATGATGCAGGCCATTATAACTCTTGTACAGTGTCAGAAACTCATCCTCCATGTTTTTAAGTGGTGTGAATTGTGGTTGCTCTGTGCTACACATATACCGTGTGTCAGCTTGTGGTAAGGTATTTGATGGTACTTCATCATGGTCTGGGGAGAGGTGTAGGAAGTTGTGGCTTCACCTGTAGTGTTGAATCAGGGGCAGATGGGTGTTAAAGAGCAAAAAGAAGGATGTCTGTTAATGTTTTCATTCCAATCCTGCTTAGATGGACACCATTCATTACAAAAAAAAAATAGGCATCATCACAATAGATTAAAATTGTGAATATAATTAAGACCATTTAGGCTGTGAGTTATGCTCAGCAACATGTTGAGGTGGAGGAGTCAGGAAAACGTGTAAGTACCTCAGGCTGGAAGAGGAATACTGATGAACTTTGGAACTGTCAACCTCTCAAGTGTATCAATCAGTTGAATGAAGTCCTTTTTTAGAATTTCTGACTCTTCTCTGTGAATATCTTTCTTGCTCACATAGAAAATAATTCAATCGATCACCCGGTGCTGGGAGAGAATGTTCCTTGTTCAATTCAGAGACAGTCGATTTGGGGAGACAGCATGTTAGTGATGTTCCTGAGAGTGAAATCACCCACAATCAGAGTGCTCAGTGTGTTGTTAGTGTCAGCCAAGAGCTGCTTTTTCTTGTGTGCAAACATTTTGTGCCTTTGCTAACCCACTTTGAGTCCCTGTTTGTAGTTAACTTTGCTGATTCTGCTTCGTTGTTGTTACCACTGGGAAGACCCTCCCCCTGATTCATTAACAGTGCAAATCATTTCATCAAAGTATATCTTTGGCATACAAAATAAAAAAAAGGTTACCTGAGTGTGTATTAAAAGCTTTGGTTGTCTGCAGTCTATGCGTAAACTCAAAACCATATTAAAACTGAATTCCGTCATTAGCTTGATGCTGTCATATAACAGAGAATATCATTGCCCTTACAAATGACCATAATCAGCGCAAATGTGTTTTTTTTACCTGCCCCCACCCCACCTATCATGCTTTGTTATTAATAATACACATTTGATGAATACAAACATTGAAATGAAACATTGAGGATATGCAAAGCTGACATTATCCTCAAACCAAGAGCCTATATTTTTACATTCATTTATTGAATTAAATAATCTAACTTCTTTTTCTGGCAAAAGTATGTGAATCTCTGCTCTCAGGAACTGGTATGACCCCCTAGAGCAGCAATGACTTCAACCAAACGGTTCCTATAACCTTTTATCAGCTCTGCACATTGACTTGGAGGAATCTTGGACCATTCCTCCTCACAGAACTGCTTTAACTCTTGCATAAATGCCTTACCTTAGGTTCTGCCTCAACATTTCTATTGGATTAGGTCTGGACTTTGACTAAGCCATTCCAAAATGCAAGATTTCTTCTGCTTCAACCATTCTTTCTAGACTATCTGGTCTCTCTAGGGTTGTTGTCTTTCTGCAGGACCCACCTTCTGTTGAGCTTCTGTAGCTCCATCAGTGATGGCAGCCTGTCCTGGTCCAAAAGGCACCACCACCAACACCATATTTCAAAGTTAGAATGAGTTTCTTATGCTGGAATGCTGTATTCAGTTTTGCCAGACATAAGATCTTGCGTTTGAGCCATAAAGATACATTTTGCCTTATATGATCACTAAAAAATTATTTCAGAAGTCTTCCAGCTCATCCAGGTGGTCTTTAGGAAACTTTAAACAGGCAGAAATGTTCTTCCTGGGGAGTTGTGGATTTCTCCATGCTATCATTCCATATGTACTATTCGTGTTCAGTGTTTGCCTGACTCATGAGCAATGGTGTTAAATTTTCTCCTGCCTGAAGGTGGACTGATGAAGTCCAAACACGTCAGAATTAGTTTAGGAACCTCTTCCAACCTAATGAGCTGTGGAAAATAATTTTCTAAGGTCCTCAGAAATCTGATTTGACTGAGACATGGCATGCGCTAACAAATGTGTGTGGTAAAGTATAGACTTTGATGGTAAAGATTCAGGTTGATATATTTTTAAATACAGTAGGGTCAGCCACCCTTGCACCTGTTTGTCAACCAATTGATTGATCCACCACTATCCCCAACACCAAACTGATAATTCTATAAATGTCTTTTGCCAACAAAGACATTTAATGTCGGATTACTTTGTTCAATAAACGGATGAAAAACTATAGAATTATTTATTTGTTTTATTAAGTTCTCTTTATTTATTGTTACGAGTTAAATGAAAATCTGATCACATTTTAAGTCACATTTATTTAGAAATTCAGAAAATGATAAAGGGTTCACAAACTTTCAAGCAGCATTGTATGTGTTGATGTGCTTTTTACATGCTTTTTACGCACTTTGTATGAAAGTAAGATCAGATCTCATCTGGCAACACTGGGGATGCATTTTGCTGAAAAGTGTAAATGTAATCCAGTTCAGATACAATCCAAACACAGAACACATGTTAATGTAAGGTGTAAACAGGCGATACTTTTGTAAAAACAGATTGCTGTAAAAAAAAAAAAAATTGAAACAAGTTCAGTTCCACCAAAAAATGAAAAGAATGAAAACAGGACACCATAAATTTACATTTTTATTTTATAAAGTGTTAGGCAGGTATATTTAACTGCTTATAAACAATTATACAAGCTCATACTAGGCATTTGAAGGTCTTATGTATACCATATAATACCATACAAATGAATTAATAAAGCACTATGAAAGTAGGATTCATGTTTTCTTTTTTCCTGATGCTGAAAAATCAATTACTTGTACTTGATGGCCATTGTACTGTAAAATTCAAAATGTTTGGATACTTACATACGTAACAGCCATATCAATTCTCGTTATATATACATATGCATCCTGTTGTTTTGCTTTAAATTAATAATTACATAATGTAATAATAATGTTCTTTATTACTGGATACAGATATATCAGTAATTTTGAGTACGTTAGTTCAGTGAAGCATTCCATATTTTAATTTATGTTGGACATTACTGACTTAGTAGTACTACTTATAGATATGTGTGTGTGTGTGTGTGTGTGTGTGTGTGTGTGTTTGTTCTTCAGGGTGGATCATGGAGGAGAGATCAGGATGAAATCAGGACTGAAGAAATGTAAGATATATATACACACACACACACACACAGACACTCTCTTACATTCTTTTTGTGTCTCCTCTAACCTGTGTGTGTGTGTGTGTGTGTGTGTGTGTGTGTACAGATGCTGTTGATCTCACTTTGGATTCAAACACAGTGCACACTCATCTCTCTCTGTCTGAGGGGAACAGAAAGGTGGAGCGTGCAAGAGAGGATCTGCCATATCCAGATCATCCAGACAGATTTGAGTACCGTGACCAAGTTCTGAGTGTGGAGAGTCTGACTGGACGCTGTTACTGGGAGGTTCAGTGGAGCAGAGAGGCTGTTATATCAGTTTCATACAGAGGAATCAGGAGGAAAGGACACAGTGATGACTTTCTGTTTGGAAACAATAATCAGTCCTGGTGTCTGATCTGCTATAATAACAGGTATTCTGTTAGATACAATAAACAGAGAACTGCTGTACCTGCCCCTCCCTCCCCGTCTAACAGAGTAGGAGTGTATCTGGACTGGGAGTCTGGCATTCTGTCCTTCTACACCATCTCCCCTGACACACACACACTGACCCACCTACACACATTCACCACCACATTCAATGAACCGCTCTATGCTGGATTCTGTGTTTATGATGACTCTGTGCAATTGCGTGAGATAGAATAACCTCCTGAATCCTGGAGGAAAAACTAAAATAACAGAAACACCCGATAGATAGATAAATGCTTTATTGATCCTGAAGGAAATTTAGCAGCCAGTAGCAGTCACACAACACAGGACAGTAATAAGGATGTAAACAATACAACAGGAAGAATAAATATAAAAAGATCCTATCTACAGGCATATATACAAATAGAAAAATACAACAATCTGAAATAATATCTTTAACCAGAGATGAAAAGATGCAGTGCAATAATGACTGTACAAGGAGGCACAGGTAACGGCATATAATGACAATACTGAAGAAATATGTGTAGATATTAGTACCAAAATAATGTCTACTGACATACTGACTATAAGGCCTATGATTTGTGATTTAACATGAGATTCAGATTCAATCTACTGTGCTTATCATTACATATTTTATTAAAATAATAATACATATAATTTATTTTATTTATTTTTAGTTCACTTTGTAGTACTAATAATATACAACCCAATTTCCAAAAAAGGTTGTGATGCTATGCAGAATGTAAATAAAAATAGGATGAAATGATGTGCAACTCATGTAAATCATATTTTTAAAGGAAAATACTACAAAGACAACATATCAAATGTTGAAACTGAGAAATTTTACTGTTTTTTGAAAAACATATGCCCATTTTGAATATGATGCCAACAACGCGGTCCAAAAAAGTTGGGATGTTCTTTTAACAACACTCGTAAGTGTTTGGGAACTGAGGAGACCAACCGCTGTAGATGTGAAAGTGAAATGTTTTTCATTCTTAATTAACATAGGATTTCAGCTGCTCAACAGTTTGGGGTTTCTTTTGATGTATTTTTCATTTTAATAATGCGTGAAATGTTTTTAGTGGTGACAGGTCCGGACTGCAGGCAGGCCAGTTTAGTCCCCGGACTCTTTTAATACAGAGAAATGCTGTTGTAATACATGCAGTATGTGGTTTTACATTATCTTGCAGAAATAAGTAGGGGTGTAAATTGCATGATTCATCACAATACGATCTTACATCGATTCTTTTAGCCAATGAAAAGATCATTTTCAATACTTTGAAATTTGCCACGATGCGATTCGTTTCGGTACTGGTTTGTTTTGATACGATTCAATGTGATTCCAGTCTGTTATATTTCTATGAACTCACAAATGCAGACAAAATATAATTAGACCATATTATTATTAAATGTCAAATACAGTAATCATAAGCAGAAAACAACGTAACAGTAAATAGATATTGTAAACAAGTGGAAAGCAGCAGGGTTCACAGAGAGGCCTGTGTGTACCTACTGACCCAGTGAAGAGAGGGGCAAGTTGACCTTGAAAGGTAGAGCAGGCTGGTTAAAACCTGTTGAAGCCAGCTTTGAGGAGTGAGCTCATCATGCGATGGCCAAATTGATGGACGAAGAGATGCACCTATTAGAGAATGAGCTAATATCAAAATTTGAGAAGTCAGGCGGGGGGATATCACATTGCCCTAGATAAATGGTATATAAACTGTTTTTTGGAACACTGTATTTACGCAGTTGGGTCTCTCGAGACCCTGTGCCACCTGATGCTGAAATAAAGAAGCCTTTTTCCCCCTTCCACAAGAACTCAGCGGCTGAAGTCTTTTATTCTACTTTTTTATTTTTGACTGAATACCCTTTTTATTTTTGTTTATTTTTTCTTTTGTTTATTTTTTGTAAGTGATTAAGACAATAATTGGAACAAAACCACAGCACAGAACAGTTTAGATTTTAAAAACCATCAAATGTCAGGCTTTAGGCAAGGAAGAAAATAGCTCTTGGTCCCGACAATGCCTTCACAGATGTTCACATCACCCATGCCATGTGCACTAATGACACCGAACATCATGAGTACTGGCTTTTGAACTGTGTGCTAATAACAAGCTGAGTGGTCTTTAACCCGGAGGACACAGTGTCCACGATTTCTGAAAAGAATTTCAAATGTTGATTCGTCAGACTACAGGACACTTTTCCACTTCCCCTCAGTCCATTTTATATGATCTCTGGCCCAGAGAAGGTGGCAGCATTTCTGGATCCTGTTTATATTTGGTTTTTTCTTTGTATTTTAGAGTTTTAACTTGCATTTGTGGATGCAGTGATGAACTGTTTTCACAGACAGTGGTTTTCAGAAGTGTTTCTGATCCCATACAGTGATGATGTCTGTTTTTAATGCAGTGCTGCCTGAGAGCCAAAGATCATGACCAGCAAATACTGGTTTTTGGCCTTGACATTGATGTTGAGAGAAGTTATTCTTATTCTTTTTTTTTGCCCATGCAGTCTTTCACAGAGTGTTGAACCCCTTCCTTATCTTTACTTCTGAAAGACTTTTTATACCCAGTCATGTTACTGATTAGTTGACAATTAACCACCAGGTGTTTTTTCAGCATTACACAACTTTACCAGCCTTTTGCTGCCTCTATCCCAACTTTTTTGGAATATGTTGTTGGCATCAAATTCAAAATGGGCATATTTTTTCAAAAAACAAAAAACTTTCTCAGTTTCAACATTTGATATGTTATCTTTGTACTGTTTTCAATGTAATATAGGGTTTAAATGATTTGCACATAATTGCGCTTTGTTTTTTTTACATTTGCACAGCGTCCCAACTTTTTGGAAATGGGGTTGTACTTTATGTCCAAATAACTTTCTTTCATTGTTACTCTGTTGACTAAAAGCTATATATTCTACTGAAACGTGGTAGCCAGTGCTTAAAGAGCTGTATAACTTAAAGAGCTGTAGACAAGAGAATGTTAGAATGAGTGATTAAGTTTAAATGCATAGTACTTTAATCTGCACCTGTTTCAAATGTATATTATAGATATTTTTCTATAAATATATACTTAAATATATTATGCATGTATTTATTTATTTATTTATTTATTTATTTATTTGTGTTTACTTAAATGTAAATAAGGCAAGCAGTTCCTCATTTTAAGGTGACCTAGGATTCAAGCTAGTGGTGCTGTACACTTACTTTCTTACAGTTTTGCTCACAAAGTTGGTCAAACTGTAAGAATTGGCATGTTAAAGTGGGAAATAAATAGTTTCAAGGAAGCCATGCAGGGCGGGGGGGCATCCTACCCAAACAGAGAGAGCAAGGTCAATTGTGTTCTCTTGGAATTTCGGTCATGGATGAGGTTATTTTTTTTGTGAACCTTGTGATACTGCAGTACCAGCGGCCAGATCTCGCTTTAGAGAACAGATTGTGACCAGGATAAGCAACGTGATGAAGTGAAGAGGACAATAGAAGCTGTAGCATGTCACATGGCAAGCTCCTAGAATAGCATAAGAAAAAAACTAAACATAAGAGAAAATCAACCAAACGTACAGCAGATATCACAAACCTTTAAATAAAGAGCTGTCTGTCAGTGCTGTCCCCTATGCAGGCACTTAATACACCAGTAGTAAAACATTATTAACTCTCAGAGAGAAAGTATGATTAACATGTTCTCATTCTTCAGTGACCACAGACCATGAAAGATGTTACAGTTGCCTCCTGACGCTGGTGTTCATAACTTTCCTCAAATAGTAGGTAAATGTGCTAATTTCAGATCAATCCATCTAGATTACATATATGCTCAAACATCACATGAATTTGTTCTTGAGAAATATTTCATTCTAAAACACTGGGGATTACTATGGAGACAGTCTCTCTTAGCTGCTGTAACAGCCAAGGTGCTCATGATACATGTTCAGCATTCTTGGGTCTTGTTCTGTGAGTCACCATATCACCACTGAGTTGCAGCTGCTCCTTGACATTTCCACTTCACAGTATCAGCACATGCAGTTGAACTGGGCCGGTCTAGCAGACAGAAGTTTGACAAACTGACTTTAAAGGTGGCATCTTACGACAGTGAAACGCTGAAAGTCTGTGAGCTCTTCAGTAGGACCCACTGTACTACCACCCTATCTTCTGTGGTTGCTTTGCAGTATACCTGATTGGCCAGAACTTTGTTTGCTGCCCCCCTGAGGTTTCCCACCCATTTCTGCCTAACTGTTCAGCTCTATGTATTGCACTGCTGAAACTTAAATTTTTTGAGAAAGAAAAAAATATTTTTGTTTGAGTGTGTGAGGTATGGATTCCACCAGATTATGCTGAAGAACTATATTGGTACCTCTTTATCCCCATGTTCAACTGCATTCCTGGCAGTTGAGTCCACCAAGCACTGCATTTCTGAAGGTTTGCACTACGTACCACTTTTACTTATTAGCATCTCATTATATTTGTTTGATGTCAGTCCTGAATTGATCTGACATGTCTAGTTTAAATACACAACATATGATGATGATGATGATGGTGATGATGAGGACAACGGCACTGTCATTATAGTCATGATCTTTGACAGGCTGTTGTGCAGAGACATATGCCATCACATCATGTGTGACAACTTGAGAACATCTTTGGTCCCAAGAGTGTACAAGAGTTCTTGACCCCATTGCTCATTTTCCACTGGAGGTCTATGGAAGTGATCCAGTGGGGATTTGTCATTCAACCAAATTCAACCCCATTGCTCATTTTCCACTGGAGGTGTATGGAAGTGATCCAGTGGGGATTTGTCATTCAACCAAGTTGTCTAATGGTGCTTTCCCCTATAATCTCTCTGACATTTCTCTTATATAAAGGAAATGGTGAAAAATGGTCTAAAGTCACTGAAGGTTTGCTGTAGTAAAATTACATCATCTATATGACTTCGTTCTCTCATAATAGAAATTGCCATTACCAGTTAAGGTAGCTAATTAGTAAACTAACCAGCTAAGACATTTTACAACATACAATTAAAGCAAACTTTGTCCATGTACTTTTGTATTTATTTTAATGCCCATTAAAATTTACATTTAAATAAAATATTCATAAGGCCTATCATTCAATTTGTACATTTACTAAAAGAAACATGCATTTTTGATGGATGGAATTATGGAAATGCATCACAAAGTGATACGTACCAACTAACAGTGAGGCATGCTTGAGGTCGTCGTTCAGTCTTTTGCTCATATGGTGTAGAGTAGGAGTGTTGAACTCAATTACTTAAAAGACCATATTAAAAAATCTCAAGACATCTGCGGGCCACAGAACACCTATGTTTTATTTCAGTTTTAGTCAACATTTTGCTATAAACCAAACTATTGTTTATTCGAAATACGCAAAAACTTCAACAGTAAAATACAGCCACTTGTAGAAGACAATGAAATATTATATGAATACTTTAAATATTCTTAATTGTCGCCAGGAGCTAGGTCTTTTAAACCTACCTGCTTGCTTAAACTAGACACTTGGCACCTTTGCTGCAAGTTCATTAATACTTGGGCATAATTTCTAAGCTGCTGAGCTAACATTAGATGTTTATATTGGCTGCACTGCAGTTGTTTAGTGATATGACTGGCGTGGAACTGTGTGGATTTGATTCGAACTGAGGTCTAACTGCTGTCCCATAGATTGTTGTTGTGGTAGGAGAGTCGGAGCGCAGATTACATTGCAGTGCATGCTGGAGACTGTAATGCAGTGAACTGTGAAACGAGCCAATATTAATAGACAATTAAAATATTTTGCAGGTCGGATAGGACTGTGTTTCGGGCCTTATCTGGCCCGGGGCCTTGTATTTGACAAATGACACTTTTTAAAAATCTCATCTATTCTGTCCTCTACAAATATTGGCATTCTTGTTAAACATGAGCAAAACAGGCTCTAAAAAGCATCTTTTTTTGCTGATCCTTTTGATATTTCATTCCAAATATCTACAAAAATCTAACCTTTTTAAAGTACAATCACTGAAAAAAAAAACCCTACATCTTATTTCTGAGGTCAATGCACCATTTTTGTCTTGATTTTGTGCTGTGTTTTGGATCACTCTCCTGAGTCAAACTATGGCCCAGTTTAAGCTTTCTGGCAGAGGCAGTCAGGTTTTGATTTTATTTCTGCTGGTACTTGATGGAGCCTGTGATGCCATGTATCTGGATAAATTGTCCAGGACCTTTCAAAGAAAAACAGCCCCATAGTATCACAGATCCACCACCATACTTCACAGGGGAGATTAGGTATTTTTCTGCATGGCTGTCTGTGTGTCCATGCCAAACTTATCTCTGGTGTTTGTAAGAGTTTCTAGGGGTGCCAATAATTGTGGCATATACAGATGTAAAAAATTAAATCTAATGACAAGATTTAGCTTTTTCTTTAATCATCTCAAATAAAGTCTAGATCTTTGCTAATATTTTGAATCAAACATCAAAAGGCTAAGTAATTAAGAATATTTTTTACAGTATTTTCCTCATGATTACCAAGGGTGGAAATCTCTGTGGAGGGCACTGTACATACACTTTCTCTTCAAACTACTCCAAATATTCTCATCCACTTTTAGCTTCTTCCATTGCTCAATGATCTCATGCTGGTCTGCTCTTACACATTAACTTATCCTAAGGGAACTGAATGTTTAGGAACAGTGTTAACAATTACAATGGTTAAGGGATTACTTTGAAAAAATTCAATACTTTAAGGCAAAACATAAGGGTGTATAATGATTTCAGTTTCACTTAGTGATTCTTATTCAGTGAATAGTATAATGTACCACTGCACAGTTCAGATGAATGTTTCAGGCAGGACCTTGTTCGTCTCACTCAGCACAGCAGAGCTGGTTGTAGAACTGAATCACAACTCTTCATGGTTCTCAGAAGATGAAACTTAAAAATGGCAGCTTTGCTTCAACTTGAACTGCTTACAGATTGTTGGAAATATTTTTATTTTTTATTGAGTTAAGCCAATAGAGAGTCAGACACTGTGTTCTTGTGGCAATACATGAATGTTTAGCGTGAAAGATAAAATTGTTAACAGATCGACCAGATCTCAACTCTCCTCTCTCCACAGGGCAGAGAAAAACATATAGATTATAAAGATGTATGTTTTCTCATCTACCAGCCCGAACTGATTCTTCCTAACTTAACAATCAAGGTGAAATTCCAAAAAACAATAATTTATAATACACAATAAAAGTTTATATTGTGAAAAACACTTTAATTATACAAATAATATGTATCTTTTTTTATTTGTATAAGAGGTAAAGCCTACTTAATTTCTCTACATCCTGAAAAAAACAAATGCATTTAACTTTAGGATTTAGCTGAGTATCTAAAACAAATCCATAAAAACAAAGCAATTTCTAGGCCCAGTCTGCAGACACACTTATGTTTTTACCCATTAATGCATTTGTGTGACTTTAAATGTGAACATCTGAAGCTTCTCCCACACGCTGAACAGATTTCTCTCTTCTGTGAATGCGCTGGTGTTTCCTGAGGGTACCACTTTCTCTAAAACTCTGTCCACACTCTGAGCAGTGATACGGTTTCTCTCCTGTGTGGATGCGCTGGTGTTTTTGAAAACCACCATGTCTTGTAAAGCTCTTCCCACACTCTGAGCAGTGATACGGTTTCTGTCCTGTGTGAATATGCTGGTGAAATTGGAGATGACTCGGTAGAGCAAAACCCTTTCCACACTCTGAGCAGTGATATGGTTTCACTTCTGTGTGAATGCGCTGGTGTTTACTGAGGGCACCACTCTCCCTAAAATGCTTCCCGCACTCCGAACACTGATATGGTTTCTCTCCTGTGTGAATGCGCTGGTGGTGTTGTAGAGTACGTCTCTCAGTAAAACTCTTTCCACATTCAGAGCAATGAAACGGTTTTTCTCCTGTGTGAATTCGCTGGTGTGTACTGAGGTGACTCTGTTGATTAAAACTCTGTCCACACTCTGAGCAGTGATACGGTTTCTCTCCTGTGTGAATGCGCTGATGTGTTTGGAGATTACTCTGTTGAGTAAAACTCTGTCCACACTCTGAGCAGTGATACGGTTTCTCCCCTGTGTGAATTCGCTGGTGTCTTTGAAGATGACTTTGTACAATAAAACTCTTCCCACACACTAAGCAGTGATAGGGTTTCTCTCCTGTGTGAATACGTCGATGTGTTTGGAGATTACTCTGTTTAGTAAAACTCTTTCCACACTCTGAGCAGTAGCAATTTCTTTCTTTGCCTGTAATTTTTTGTGGATGTTTGTGAGGTGTGTTTGTATGGAGAGCAGTGGAGGATGTTTTCTGAGTACTGGTGCTTCTGAACACTTTTTCCCCACTTTCAGCAGTGTGACGAATTCCTTTTGCCGGCATTGCTTCATGTGTGACAGTAAATTAGAACTGTGCATGGAAGTGGACACCAGAAAAAAGAGAAGACTTGCAACAGGAAGTCATTCCTTTCTGCAGGACAAAAGAAAAAAAAAAAAAATCAATTAATGAAATAGCAACAGACATCCCATTTGCTCAGGAATTAAAATAGTTCAATGGAAAAAATGGAAAAAGCAGTGCCATCTATGCAGTTACAAAAAAAAATGTTATACAGACAAAGTTGTGTTGTGTATGTATCAAAATGGACCAAAAGTTAATTAGGTCTGCAACAACAAGGTAGGTGTAAAAGTGCCAGTAAAACATAAGGTTTAAGTCATTAAGAGAAAACCTGATGACATTCAGCCTTAAATACTGCAGCAGATTCTGTGCTCCCAAACTTCGTGAGTATCCTTTACTTAAGATTTAAACACACTATCTCTTCATGTCCTCCCTGCCTCTAGCCCAGGTGAAAGTACAACACCTTGTCGGCAGATTCTTCACTCGTTTCACCTGCCTGTTCTTATTTCTGTGGTACATTTGATTAATTCACAATCACACTCTCCTATCATCATCATCATTTACTAAACATCAAGTCAGTTGTTTCCCAAGAGTACAGAAGATCAGGAAAACTGGTGTTAATGGTGTCCCACCTGCAATACTCAGACACTGTGCTCGCACAGCTTTACTCAATCATTGTTGATCTCTTCAGTCAGTCCCAGGCCCAATGTGATGTACCTGTTTGTTTCAAGACCTGTGTCATCATACCAGTCCCTAAAATTCTCCTGACCTCCTGCCTAGATGGCTATAGATCAATTGTCCTAAACTCTGTAATCATTAAATGTTTGAAACACTTCTACTACAGCTTCCTAAACCTTGTCTATGCAGTTAGCACAGACAGCTAGCATGTCTGTAGATTTGTAGATTATACCCTAAATTGGACAACATTCACCTGTGCGCTGTTTGAAGACTTTAGCTAAGCTTTCATTCTTGACTTTCTCCTGGATAATGTTCTACTACTGGATCCATAAACGCAGTGTCCAACAAGAAGTGAGTGTGTCAGGGTCAGTGTCCACATTTTGCACCCTCTCTGCCTCAGCAATGGTGATCAACAAGGGTGTGTGCTCTCTTTCTTTGCTGTATTTTTGCTACAGAGGACTTTCCTAAACAGAATGGTGTTGGGCCTAGACACTGACCAAAGCAAGAACTCTGATTAATGGTGTATACATGATGCTGGATCTAAATCTAAATCAAGCATTTCAATTAGCATTTGCATTATCCAGTAAATGCTACTAAAGCTAAGAATGTTAATGCTAAGCTTCCACCACCTGTACACCTGATTTGAACAGATTGAAGATTACTCTGTTGACTAAAGATTTTTTAAACAGATCTGAACCACTACTGAATCTCCCTGATGATAACCACAACAATAATGACTGATTAGAAATTGTTGTACCAGTGTAATGGCATAAGGAGAACCAGCTTGGGAGAAGCCAAACATGTTGCCTGCAAAACACCAGTACTCACACAATTGTAAAGGCACTAATGAAATAGGAAAATTGCATCATACTATCTCCCAGTTGTTATGGTCTTGGACAATAAAACTTCCCGAAATTATATCTTACCACCAGATGGTAAATCACACCACTGTATTCTCTAAAAAATATGTTTTTTTGAAAATTATACTGATATATTGAAAGAAGACTTTGGTGAACTTCTCTCAGAGGCTGCTTTCAATGTGAAGGAGTACTTGGGTTTGTGAAAAATTTCTGGTGCAATGTCATAATTGCTTCATTAGTACATCTAAGTACATTAAACTTAAGTGAATTTAAGTATCATATTTTCAGCTTATAAGAAACATGCAAATCTAAGCTGCTGCATAGCACTTTCTTGTTGATGTACTGAAACATTCAGTATTATAGGAAAATGTGAATTCTGCGCTACAGTAGCGTATCTGCTACAAATTTCAGTCTATACAATCAAAATGAGCCATTCATGAAAAGTTAACTATGATAAAAAAATAAATAAATTTCAGTGCAGGGAGTCTTTAACCATACTGTGAGGCTTGACAGCTATACATGTTATTTGCTTTCCAGGTAGTTAGTCTTCTTGTGACATGCACAAAAAGCCAATAATAATTTTCTCAGCATGTCTGGTAAATATAATAGCAATCAAGGCCAGAGGCATACATCACTGAAAAAAAACTGCACGTTTGTGTTCATGCATGCTAATAATACATAATGAAGCGATAGATTATTCAGGTCAAAACAGGCGCTCCTAAATCTAAATTCTGGAGATATAAGTGTTTTGTGGCACTGCAAAACCCTGTTAACCAACACCCACGCATTTCATCAGCAACCATCCATATCACTCAAACTTAACCAGCTACCACCCCCAAACATAACCAGCAATACCCCTATCCAAACTTAACCAGCAACATTCCCTACCTAACTTAACCCCATCCAAACTAAACCAGCGACACCCACATCAAAACTTAACCAGAGACACTCTCTACCCAAACTTAACCAGTGACACCCCCATCCAAACTTAAACCAGAGACACTCTCTACCCAAACCTAACCAGCGACACCCCCATCCAAACTAAACCAGAGACACTCTTTCCTCAAACTTAACCAGTCACAAAACAAAACAACACAATGAAATTACCCCCAAAAAATGAATCAGGAACTAAATGTTAATGACTGAAATTGAACTGAGGAAAATATTACTTTTTCCACTAATATACTCAAGTGAGAATAACACATATGGAAAACACAAAGGAAAGTACAAATCCATCAAAATGTTTATCCTACATATAACTGAATAAATGTGAGTATTTTCTACCTACCTCTGACCTTCTCAAACCCAACTAGAAAAAGTATCATCCCCCAAAATCACAGAGCTAAGTGCTAACATTAGCCTCCTCAGCTCAACTCAGTCTGGATGAAGAAGACTGCTTCTGAGTTAGGTCACATACATCACACATTTTACATTCTCATCTTAGCTTTCAAAAAGGTATTCACTTCTATACCAGATTCAGTAAAACAGTGGAAACAGAGTGAACAAGTGTTGCACAGCTCTAGAGGCTAAAAGCTGTCTAACTATTTCTGTGAGTGATAAACACAGTGAAAAAGTGATGAACAGCTCTTTACCTTCAGCAGATCAGCTCCTGTTTCTCTCTATTTCTGTAAGAGTTATAAACAAAGAAAACAGAGTGAAAAAGAGATAAACAGCTCTTTACCTTCAGCAGATCAGCTCCTGTTTCTCTCTATTTCTGTAAGAGTGAGTTATAAACAGTGTAAACAGAGTGAAAAAGTGATAAACAGCTCTTTACCTTCAGCAGATCAGCTCCTGTTTCTCTCTATTTCTGTAAGAGTGAGTTATAAACACAGTGTAAACAGAGTGAAAAAGAGATAAACAGCTCTTTACCTTCAGCAGATCAGCTCCTGTTTCTCTCTATTTCTGTAAGAGTTATAAACAAAGAAAACAGAGTGAAAAAGAGATAAACAGCTCTTTACCTTCAGCAGATCAGCTCCTGTTTCTCTCTATTTCTGTAAGAGTGAGTTATAAACAGTGTAAACAGAGTGAAAAAGAGATAAACAGCTCTTTACCTTCAGCAGATCAGCTCCTGTTTCTCTCTATTTCTGTAAGAGTGAGTTATAAACACAGTGTAAACAGTGAAAAAGAGATAAACAGCTCTTTACCTTCAGCAGATCAGCTCCTGTTTCTCTCTATTTCTGTAAGAGTGAGTTATAAACAGTGTAAACAGAGTGAAAAAGAGATAAACAGCTCTTTACCTTCAGCAGATCAGCTCCTGTTTCTCTCTATTTCTGTAAGAGTGAGTTATAAACAGTGTAAACAGAGTGAAAAAGTGATAAACAGCTCTTTACCTTCAGCAGATCAGCTCCTGTTTCTCTCTATTTCTGTAAGAGTGAGTTATAAACACAGTGTAAACAGAGTGAAAAAGAGATAAACAGCTCTTTACCTTCAGCAGATCAGCTCCTGTTTCTCTCTATTTCTGTAAGAGTGAGTTATAAACAGTGTAAACAGAGTGAAAAAGTGATAAACAGCTCTTTACCTTCAGCAGATCAGCTCCTGTTTCTCTCTATTTCTGTAAGAGTGAGTTATAAACAGTGTAAACAGAGTGAAAAAGAGATAAACAGCTCTTTAGCTTCAGCAGATCAGCTCCTGTTTCTCTCTATTTCTGTAAGAGTGAGTTATAAACAGTGTAAACAGAGTGAAAAAGTGATAAACAGCTCTTTACCTTCAGCAGATCAGCTCCTGTTTCTCTCTATAATAACATAAAGCTCTTCTTCTCCACTTTATTATCATTGGTGAACCACACTTAAAGAAGAACTAGCGCCCCCACCTCCCCGCAGGAACGCCACTGTGGATCTAAGGGCGTTGTTTTTCTAATCTCACCCGTATTCTGACAAACGCCGCCTCGTGCACTACGATTGGCTAGATGCTCATAAGAGCAGTCCGCTGATTGGCTGGTTGAAAAGCGGCTCTCGTTACCGGAGCAACCAGCATCAGAGGATCTGCAGCGGTTACAACATTGACTGTATATGTAAACTGGACTCAGTGATACGCTATTCTCTTTAAGTCAATCGTGTCACTTTCTGATCGGCCTCTCCTGGCGGACAGCGTGAACGCGTGAGGTTTCGCACGCACCTTGACGCAAATTTCCCGCGTACAGTTCAAATGAGGTGCCCAGCAACAGTTAGTGAACATACTGAAGAAACATAAATCATTACAACCATTCAGCACAGCAGCACGCTTTCACCATATAATGAATTTTAATTAAATAGTTATCATTACAAAATAACTTTAAAACGATTAATATTACAATTATATACTATAATTGTTGGACTCCATTGTTTCTGGTGCCCAAACAACTTCAAACATTGAATTTTGATTAAATTAACGAGGAATTACCGTTTACCACGTCTTATTATTTACTTTTAATTATTATTATTATTATTATTATTGTACACTGAAACCACTTCATGCTTTATTGTTGAGGAGCTTCTACTCTAAACGTTACAGCACGGTGCTTGGAATCGCAGCTTTATCTCAAAATTTTCTGTATGGACACCAATTCTTTTAACTGTGCAGCATGTTTTAAATCACCCAACAGCATTTCAATGGGATTCAGGTCTGGGTGCAAATATAAGGTAACATATGTGCCAAATTCCATCAGTCATTCCTCACCATGAGAAAGACCAGAGAATCCAGCAATAATATGAAACAAAGTGTTGCACGTATCAAGGAATAACTACAATACGATAGGTTAATTGGTTAAAAATGTCCATTTCCGTTTTTCCTATGACTGTATTTCAGTCATGATATGTATTTCATAAAGGTTTACTTTTGTTAATATTTTGAAGAAGTAATCAAAATGATTAATGATTAATTAAGAATGTTTTTACAGCATGTTTTACTCATGTTTACCAGGGGTGTCGATATTTGTAGAGGGCACCGTAACTACTAAAAACGTTCATTTTAAGTTGAAGTACACTTTAAAAAAACAACACTGGACAGGTGGTAAAATACAGCTTTAACTGTGAAAAGCTTCTAATTAAAGCTGTAGGAGTTGTGGGTAAATTATTAAAATGACTGTACTAGAAATTATTAGTATTATTATTATTATTATTATTATTATTATTATTATTATCATTATTATTATTAAGCAAGCAACAATAAAAATAGCAATAACGTTCTTAATATCTGAAGGAAATTTGATCACAATTTAGTGGAGTGCATATCTTGAGGATAAATTGGAGATGGACATAAAACAAGTCCTTGTCAGAGCATTCTTCTAAAGCAACATGTCATAAGCCTCACATAGCACAAAGACAAAAATCTAGGTGTAAGAAATACATTCTTAAGCAAAATATTGCATATTAAAGAGATTCAAATTTGACTATGGGAGACAATTTACATCCAATCAGGTGTTAGATATACTGATCTAGAGGGCTTTGTTTTTCTAATCCCATCTGTATTGCGACAAACCCTTAGACTACGATTGGCTAGAAATTCATAAGAGCCGTCTCCGCTGATTGGTTGGTTGAGAAGCGGTTCTCATTACCGAAGCAACCAGGGTCAGAAGATTAAAAACAAAAGATCTAACAGTAGAGTTTTATCCCAGTTCAGCACAGCGGGACACTTTAAAACTCTACTATTTTCAGAAACACATTTCTTTCTGTTTAAATCTACCACTTACTCCTAATATATTTGGAGTAAAATGTTTATCTACTTAAACAGTTATGAAATTACACAAGAATGACATAAAATGGCTGGTTTGTGTGTTCGCGTCACAGCGAAAGTTTATAACGTTCAACATGGCAGGAGCAGAAACTGGTCTGCAGAGGAGACTAAGTCTATGCTCTGATCTTTAAAAGACGGCGGTGGGACGGACGTCCAGCTTATGTGTCTCAGACATGTCTTGCTCTCGCCGCTTCCTTAATAAGTACATGTAAAGTACATTTTTCTGAGTCAGACATAATTTTTAAAGCATTTAAAAACACAAGCGCGCCAATTTAAAACTCATCTCACTCACCTCACGTGATGCTCATTGTCATGGGAACCTTTACTCTAAGTGGTACTCCGTGCATGCTCGTCATTTTGAATCGGATTACTTGTAGTGTGCATGTAAACGAAGATTCCCCATCAGATTGTTGAATAGTGTGAGAATATAAACACCTAAGTCTTAATCTGTCATCAGAATATATTTAATCGGATTGGCAAATGTCTTTGCATATAAACATAGCCTGTGACAAAAGAAGTACTGAGGCATTCTTTGCTATTAAAAGAGACAAAGCTTTAGACATCACGTGTCCAGACTAAATTATACATCTTTTTGCCCCTAACCGTCAGCATCAGCCATCTTCTCCCCACGATCAGTGCTAGCTCACAGTGTGTACATGAACTGCCGTGCTTTCCCTGTCAAACCCAGCAGGTACCACTTCTGGCAATTCTGATAATTGCCTCCTAAACCTAATAAATGGTTTGCCACCCTTGGCACTAATATCTGCAATCAAATGACTGTGATAACTTGCAATGAATCTTTTATATTGCTGTGGAGGAATTCTGGCCCACTCTTCTTTGCAAAATTGTTTTAATTCGGCTACATTGGAGGGTTTCTGAGCAGGAACTGCCCTTTTTAGGTTCTGCCACAGCACCTCAATGGGATTCGAGTCATGACTTTGACTTGGCCACTCAAAAACATTAATTCTGTTTCCTTTGAGCCATTCAGAAGTGGACTTGCTTGTGTGCTTTGGATTATTGCTCTGTTGCATAACCTAATCTTGAGCTCAGGTCACAAACTGATGGGCAGATATTCTCCTTCAGGATTTTCTGACAGAGAACAGATTCCATGCTACCATCGATTATGACGAGTTGTCCAGGTCCTGCAGAAGCAAAGCAGCCACAGACCATCACACTACTACCACCATGTTTGGATGTTGGTATGATGTTCTTATTGTGGAATGCGGTGTTAGCTTTATGCCAGATGTAATGAGACCTGGCAATTGTGACACAAGCCTTTCTGTTCTTTTTGGTCAGCAGTGGTTTGTGACTTGCATCTCTTTCATGGATGCCGTTTTTGCCCACTGTCATTCCAAGTGTGGAATCATGTACATTGACCTTAACTGAGGCAAGTGCGGCCTGCAGTTCTTTAGATGTTCATCTGGGCTATTTTGTGACCTCCTGGATAAGTAGTCAGTGCACTTTTGGTGAAATTATCGTAGGCTGGCCACTCCTGGGAAGGGTCATTTTGTGGATAATGGTTCTCACTGTGGTTCACTGGAGTCCCAGATCCTTAGCAATGTTTTTTACCCATTCCAGACTGGTAGATTTCAATGACTTTGTTTCATCTGTATTTGAATCTCTTTAGAACATAACATCTTTAGAATGTAGAGACCTTTTAGTGTGCTTCACATTGCCAGACAGATTCTATTTAAGTGATGTTTAGATTCGACTGGTCTGCAGTAATCATGCCTAAGTGTGGCCAATGAAATGGTCAATGAAAACAGTCATTTGAATTTGGTTAAATGGTTGATTTAGTAGTTAATAGGGGCAATTATTTTTTTAACATAAGCCCAGTAGCATTAGATAGGGCAGTACAGCATTTTTATTTCAGTAAATGAAATGGTCAGTTAGGAATAGCATGTGTTTACTTGGATTATCTTTATTTGATATTAAAAGTAGTTTCATGATCTGACTATTCAAATTTGACAAGCAAAAAAAGAAGAAAGTGGGGAGGGGGCATACATGTTTTCACAGCACTGTACATAGTGGCATCAGCTCAGAAGAAGATGTGTATAGGCAAATGCTTTATTTTGATTAAGTACTTCAACATGCAAGAAATGCCCAACCCAGTACTACCACAACACAAAACACAGGAATGGGGTAAAATGTAAGGATATGACATAGAGGAATAGATACTTTTAAGCACTAGCTACAAGCTCCCCATGGCAACACAGCCTGGATGCCACACAGCTCCCCCCCTCGAAGGTCGGCCATCCTGGTGACCCACAGTCTTAACGAAGTTCCCATGGGTGCACTGTCCTGGCCAGCCCAAGTGCCATAGGGTGCCTGCTCTTAAGCAAAAGGTGCCCAAAGTCCTTTATCAGGGCTATATTCTTGCCGCAGTGGCTCCTCAAAGTACCCTGCTCCAGGTGGGGTATTACATATGAGCACTGCCAACAGAGATCCATTCATTGATGGTGGTGCGGCATTGGCGGAGAAAAGCCATGGTGCCTTAAACCTGGCAGTGAGCCCAACCCTGAAGATCCCCTAACTGGCTCGCTCACTGTCACAGAGCCCCAAATCTCTGCTTTGGCTCTGCTGCTAACCACCACAACCAGCTTCACTTGTCCCATCTCCAAGGCCAGCATTTTCTTCCTCAAGCATAGTCCGTATCACAGCAAGGAAGTTCAAACTGAATATGCCTATAACCTGTATAGGTGCGAGTGAGCCAGACCATGTGCACTTGCCTCAGGCTCCCCACCACAACTGGGGAGCCATGTGCTTCCTCTCATGTCTACTTGGCTGCCAGTGATGGATGAAGTTGGATGATTGTCACTTCCTAGTTGCAAGGTGTGCTGCCCTCACTGCACAGGAGCATACCTGGACATAGCAGCAACACTGACAAGCCAAAGTCAAGGGTAGTGAGCTGTTTGCTGTCTATGCTGCACTTGACCCAAAGTCCACAGCAACAGCTGATCTCCCTGGCTGGCTTCTGTTTCCCTGCCAACTTAGGTTCACAGCACTGGCGTGGTGTCCCCTTTTCTCACATCACCAGCACA